ATATAATAATGAATATCACTATATAAAGACTGTATGATTTTTTTTCTTTAGAATGCACTATTTTATGTATGCAGTTCTAATAAATGGAATCGATTTGATTCAAAACGGATTAAGAAAATTATTCAATAAGATTAAAAAGATTTTATATTTCCAATAATAACTAGAAAAAAAAGAAGCTGTACAGAGGAGGGCTCAGTCCTCTGACCATGTTTGGATAGAGGATAGAGACTACCTGATAATGCCTTCTAGGGTAAATTTAAGCTCCTGTTTTTAAGCAAAACTCAACCATTTGTAGGAAACATTCAAAGTCTTTTTCTGTTTCAAGATTCAATACACTCCGGTTGTCTATCAGTGGCTCGTTTAGGTTGTAAATATATACTACAAATCTTTTCGAGCTCATATAGAAAAGAAAAAAGATTGTATGCATTTGATATTAGTTAGATTTCTATTGCTATTAATTAATAAACTTCTAATTACTTTGTTGAAAATCTTCTGCATTCGATAAAAATTCATCAGCAACTTCAGTATCAAGTTCATCATCTTGTGCTTCTCTTGCTAAACTTTTATTTAATCGACATGCAATAAGTGCTTTAGCTAATGCTTCTTCACCATGCGCCCAAAAAAATAAAGCCATTTCATGTCGTTTTGTTAAAACAGCAAATATAAGCAATTCATTATAAGGAAAATCAAATTTTGGATCTTCACACACTGAATTCTTTTTCATATCATCATTCAATACATTATTATTAATTTGTGCATGTTGTTCTTTTAGTTCAGCATCAATATAAACATTAAAATTTTGTCGTTCACTAAATGGTTGTCGTGCACATAAATGACGTATATTACGACGTGTATATGATGAACGATAACCTTGTCCAATAAGTTTTTCAACAATAAGGCCTATTTCATATAATGAATATACTCTTGTTTGTACATGATGATTTGCACTACGTATAACATCTTTAGCAATTAAATGTAATGTTGTATTTGATCCACATGCATTATATAATGCTTGTAAACGATTAAATGTAAGAAAATTTTTAATTGATACACCATTTTCAATAAGTAATTTAATATATTCAACATGATTGTCAACAAGTGCTTCAAACATACATACATCTAATCGAGCCTGAGTTAATTCTAAACGTTTTGTAAGTAAACATGTTTGAGCTATATCAGGTCGATTCCATGAAAGTGTTAAACGAAATTGTTCGAGTGCACTTGCTTTATGATTTCTTTAATAGAAAAGAAGATAGTAGTTAGTTTTCTATTGTTTTGATAAGATCTTAAATTTTGCTTCAATCTTTAGTAGAAACAAGCAAAGACTTTTGATTCATGGATAAAGAATTCTGAAATTTTTTTTAGATAAAAGATTATTGAGTTTGAATTCTTCACACATTATTTTTCAGCATATTATATGTAATAAACGATATGAATAATTGAAGCTTTCATCAATCTTAAGAAGTATTACATTTCTGTGTTCTTAGATTTGCAAAAAAAAAGTAGAACAGTTTACTTTGACTTAGTAGTTTTTTTTACACAATACTAAACAAAATCATTCATTGTCATATCTCTAATCTTCAATCAAATAGTAAAAAACAAAAATGGTATTCATCTTTTAATTAATCTCAAAGTCTTTCAGGCAAACAAGAAAACATCTATAATATTAATTATCACATATCATCGTGTCCTTTTTTTGTACTGTTATAGATATCCAGAAATACAATCAGTATGTAAGTATGGCGTATGTAAGATAGTACTAGATGACATGTCTTGATAATCCTATTTGCTCAGTATGAAATCAACCATTGTATTCAACTAGTGCTCTTGAATGAATGAAAAAGCCGTAGGACACATAAAAATGACTTTGATTCCGGTTTTTACAACGGAAATGTCTCAAAAACATGAAGACCGGAATTTTAAAAAAACCGATTGCTCTTGATTACGTTTCATCACATCAAAATGAATGAAATCTTTGAAAAAAGACATACCGAAGAAGAGTTCGTAAAATAGCTTGATCAACATCTTCTTGTTCTCCCGATCCATCATCATCCATTCTATAGATTGTTATATATTGTCGTTTTCTCATACATACAATTAATTCAACATAAACTTTTTCCGCTTGTCGTCGATTATAATTAAATGTTTTTTCAATAGCATTTAATAATTGTTCTTGTAAATCAGCTGCCATTGTTCTAAAATAATAGCAAAACATATTTCCTGTGTCTTATTTATTATTATTATAATTAAATAATACCCGTCATTTTGTGTATGTTTATATGTAAATGCAATAAGATCAGCAGCGCGACCGCTTCCATCAATAACTACAACAGAAACCTAAATAAAAACAAAATAAAATATATATAAATTTTTATAATTAAATATTACTGGTGGTTCTTCAGTAACATATTCAAGTACGGTACGAATTGTATTTGTTCCACCTTCAACAATAACACATACAACAGGAACATTTTGTTTTCCAACATGACCTTGAATTTGAATAAAAGAAGGGAAAACAAAAACAAATGAGATTAGAAAGAAAAATTTAAAAAAAAAAAATTTTTTTTTATTGATTTACCATGAAATGATATTTTTTGTTGTGAAAGATATTTTTCAAAACGTTTTCGAAGTATAACTTCTCCACCATATTTTCCGACTGTTCCATTATCAACAAGTAAAAAACAACTGTGTGAACTATTTAATGTTGCACAATTGTCTTCTGTAACAACTGCTGCTGAATGATAAGAAACTGTTTGCTTAAGAAAAAAAAAAAAAAGAGAAATGTGTATTTTTTTTCTGGTATTTTTGAGTACATAAAATATAAATGATCTAATTATATTTACATTTTGTCCTTTTAATTGTTCACGTCCTTGAATAACACCCCATGGTGCAATACCAATGACAACAATATTTGATCGAATTCTTGATCTCATAAAAAGTGCATCACCAACATGTTTAACAACACCTGTATTAATACCTGATGTAAATATCCATGCACCAGCAGTTTTTGCTGCTTTTAAAAGACCACGTTTTAATACCTGACGAAGACGAGGTTCTAATTCAAAATTTTGTATACCACCATGAATACTAACAATCTAAAATATAAAACATAAATATATTTTCTTAATAATCTTATTTTTCTTCTTACAAGATTTGGTAATTGTAATCGCCATTGTTTTGTAAAAAGATGAACAATTTGGGATGGATTTGTATCGTAAGCTAAACGTAAATAATGTGCTTTGGCTGGATGAAGCATATTTTCAAATTCAATAATTCCATATGCATTTGTTGGATAAAGTGTTGTATGTTTAGCAACATTCCATCGTTCAAAATCGTGTTCAGATTGATCATGGGATGGATTAGTAAAAAGACGTTTAGTTGATATAGATTTAAGTGCACGATTGGGTGGTTTTACAGGAGATAATGGATGATACTCAACACTATTATCATGTTCGGATTCTAATCGACCACAAAAACAACGAGAAGGATCATTAGTTGTTGAAATAAATCTTTTGCATCGTCGTCGAAAAAAAACCATACACAAATTGGAATCATTTATAGGAGCCTAAAAACAACAATAAAACAAACAAACTCTTTATGTTTATTTAATTAATCATATTTAATCAATCAATTTTCTTACAAGATTTCCATAGAGTCTATTCAACATATCGTTTTTTTTCTGTCTTTCTTATTTTCCATAAATGTGGATTATTCACTAGAGAAAAATTTCTCCTTCTCTATTTTCATCCGAGTCACGCAAACATCTCTAATTTCCTTACATGATTAACTCAAACGAACGAACACACACACACACATCTATTTGTATATAGTCAACAAGACTTTCTTTAGAACACAAGAGAATAGATATATATATAAAGAAAAAGACTTTTATTACTTCTTTGTTAGCCATTATCATGACCAGCGCCAATAGAAAATACGTGATTCGACTGATGTTTTTCTGCAAGTAATCGTTGTTTCATCAATAACGAAACATAGGTAGAGTTGAATAAATTTAATATGTTTTCATGATGAAATTAACCGTCTGAAAAAGAAAAAAAATAACGTCATAGAATTTAATAGAAAACATCATCAATGGTTCTTACGAAATAACATTAGAAAAGGGCAAAAATTACCAAATGCAAGAACATTAGTTTATAACAACAGAAATTCTGTTGACATTAATAGAGGATGAAATACTTTTATCTTGTCTATTACTTTTAACGGAAGACAACAGAATACAGTTATTTGATTCATTCAATTACGCACTTCAGCTGTTTTTTTTACCTCCTAAGTGGAAACAGTTGAAACCATAGAAAAAACAACAACTATGAAAAAATGATTTACTACGAGTTTACATACTTCAAAACAAAACTTATTGCGTCTTTCGATGCAATGAATGTAAGAAATACGAATAATCCACATCGATTAACGAGTGTCAACAATCCAACGTTTAAAAACTAATTCTTAATTTTTTTTCTCTCCCTCAGGCTATATTCATCCTACAAATACTTGAATAGCGCATACAAGAAACACAAGGAACTTTGCACTTCATACTTCAAACATACCAAAAACATTTTTTTTCTTTCAGTATGCCGTAATTGATTGTGTCAAACTTGAAACGATATGCATGTATGAATACATGCATCCGATCTCTTTGTTTACTTCATTTACATGAAGCAAAGAAAGAAAAAAAACTTACCATATCTTCACACTTTACGTCTTAGCTATCTATCTATAGTGAAAACAACACGAAGAAAAAAACATAGACGCCATGATCAGTGTAGTTTCCTTTAGTACAGGTGGCGCTAGAATGATATTATTAATGGTTGGATTAGTTCCTTTGTCTTTTTCTAATCAGCTGTTTACAGTCTATCGAGATTTCTATTTGATAATTCCTGTTCTAAAGACATATTGTTTTTAATCTAAAAGTTTACATCTATTTCCGATGATGTTGAAAATGACTCTATGTTGATGTATTTTCGCTCAATTACATTCTAGATATGTCTGATGAAAATGATGAACGACAACAAGATCCATCTGACGTCAATTGTAATCATGAAAAAATTTCACCATTATCAAATCGTTTTCTAGTTGCACATTCATCACCAGTACATGAATCAACAACTGATGTAATTACTCGTATACAAGATGATTCATTTCAATCATCATCATCAACATCAAATTCAAAAAGTAGTTCAAGTGTAACAAGTCGTTCATCACGTCGTCAATTTTTAATTATACAACATCAGTCAGC